TCTCCCCGCACTATGCCATTACCGGTCGTCACCCCAACATCGGCCTACCTACACTACACAGAAAAGAAATCACAAGCGACGATCCCGGAGCATATGGAATGCAAATTAATGCCCTGCTAAAGCAGGTTTACCACCATGTCACCCTAGTCAACGATGAAGCTGACCACAAACTTGAGACTAACTTAAATCGCCTCACAAGGTTTTACTTCATCGACCACACTCAACTGTTGCCCAATCCTCTCATCTGCCCTGGATAGGAAATTACACCATTATAAAAACGAACAATATGATGTGTCAGGTGCAAAACGATGATGGTGATACAATCTGGATTCACCGTGCACATATCCGACGACTGGCTCCACGCCCAACACATCTTTCTAATACAATCCCTCTGTTTCCACCATGTAACAGTCACCAGGATAATTCTTCTCTACATCCCTCGGGGACACATAACTCAGCAAATAACCCCATACCAAAACAGATGCCAATAAAAAGAACACGAGGACAACTTCCCACACGCTTCAGAGACTTTATCATGAATTAATCACCCAAATATACACGAATAACGCTCACTGTAAATGAGACCGAGATCTGGGGAACCTTGTTATAAAATAAAATGAGACATATCTCGGCTGATTTTCTCAAGAGCGAGAACCGCATGTGAACGGGACAAAGCCCCGTCACAAAATGACCAATATCCTTCTTTATAAATGTTCCCGACACACGTGTTCCGATTGAAAAATAAAATAATATTTAAAGTCTCTATTTTTCGTCCAATAAAAAAGTTCTTTCCTAATTATACTCGCTTTTTTTGTTTCGAGCCTGTTAAGCCATAAAAAACGATATAAAAGGGGTCACACGGAAGTTCAACAGGCAGTCAACATGTGGCCAAGCGAACAGACCTGACGGTCAGGAATAAATAATAATTTTTAGCGTCAACCACCGTCAAAATGTAAGGATGAACTACTATGAGAGATCGACCAGATCCGAAAGCCGGCTTATGAACTTTACCACAATGGTAAGCTGTCCCAAACCCTCACATTCCTGTTGAAATAAACCACGTAAATCTATTTCTACTGTTGTCGTATTTCTTTCTTGCAACCATACGCTTGTCTATAACAAATGGTTAAATGAATCGGATAACTGAAAAGCATATCAAATATTTTAAGTGACGACCAGCCTTAACCAAATTCTCCGCTTTTCGGCCTTGTGCCACAATTGTATATTTTACGCAATAAATTTTGAGACCTTTGTGAAAATGATTTCTATATAAATATTTGTTGTCTTTGTATTACATAATTGTTAAAAAAAACTATATTGCCGTATTAGCCTTCCTTTTTTTTATATTTTCTTAAAATTTTAAAATGTTTTTGGAGAAGTGAAATTTTGTACACGCAGTAATTTCATATTAAAAACAGCCTTCTGATTATTTTTTAAACCAGTTTAAGGTTTTGAAATATGAAACTTCAAATGAATTAATGGGAACATAAAACAAGTCATCATTCATTGAAGCCCCCCTGGTTTGTTAGAAAAAGATGACACTTCACACATTGAAGGATACCTTCCTGGAAGCCTATGCTTTAAGGCGGTAAATTTTCATTTTAAATAAATTTGATTCAATTCAAATATTTTTTCAATTTTTCTAAAATAGTCTTATTTCAGTGCAAATGCACTATTTTAACTCAAATCAACAATTAGATATTGGTATTTTATTTGAGATCGAATAAAAAAAATAGCAAACCATGAATAAAAAAAAAGGCCTTAAATTTGATTAAAATATTTTTTATCGATATATTTTAATGTTATTATCAAAGGATTATTTCAAAGTATTTTTTTGAATTTTTTTAAATTTTTAATAATTTCTAGCACGTCAAAATTTTCGTTAAAAATTTTCAATTTTTTGAATCGGAAAAATCGACTGGAAAATCGATGAATCTCTATTTTTTAACTTTTGAATTTTTACAAAATGAGTTTGTTTAAAATTTCTTTAAAAATCAATTATGATTTTTTTAACTAATTGCAAAAAAATTAGAAATTAGGTGTTTATTTAGTATATTTGAAACAAAGATTATTTATTTTCTTTGATGTTCATGTTTTTTCAAATGGGAGTTCTTAATTTGTGTGAACTGAAACCTGTTGATTAACAAATGACATCTTTGTTTTTTTCATCAAGCACTGACATTCTCTTTCAGGAAATTTCCAACAAGAGAACTTTCATGAAGGAGGACAATTTCATTTACGTTTCATTATTTACTTTTAATTTTAAGTAGTCATACCATGAAAAAACTCTGATTTTAAACTTTTGAAATGTGTCTTTGGCCATCCAAAATGTTTAACCCTATCTAAGGGAAAGAACTTTCCAGCCTCTAATTTTTTTCATTAGATTTTTAAAAAATTTCTGTCTTTATTTTAGAATCTTTTATCTTTTGATTGCAAAAATCTTGTTTCTTTACTGATGACCTTTATTATCTTTTTTTAGTTCATTTTTTCTTATTCTTCTTTAATTTTGAAAATCTTGCAAAAATAGATTTAATCCTTTCCAGATTTTAATGAAGCTTTGTGTCATGATGGAAATTATTTAATTTTTTAAAATAATTTTTCATATAAGTATAAAAGGCCGTTTCCAGTTCTTACAAATTTTGTCACGTGATGTTTTTATTAAATTAATATTCCGGGAGAAGACACATTTTATGATTTTTTTCTATTTTGTATATCAAAGAAAGGAATTCATTTTTTATCTTTTGCTGGTTGGTTTGGATTGCCAAAACAAGGTTTTAGTTATTTTAATGACTTTCCTAATATGTCAAGGTTGCTAGCAGCTCTAACAGATCTTTGTGGTACCATAATTTTAGATTAACAGCCTTTAAAGTAAGGTACACATTCTTAAATTTGTGAAACTGTTTTTAAATAACAATTCAGACATAAATATCATTTTCATTGTTTTGGTGTTTTCTAATAAAACAGACAATGTTCTTGTCCTATCTCTGGTCTGTTTCTGTTCAATTCATCCAAATAGAGATGATTTGTTTTTATGTGCTCATTAGGCTGACTGTTTGGTGGAGTTCATATTTGTTTGCACCTGGTTTTTTCAATAGCAGTTTCTATACAGTAGTGCTGCTCAGATCTTGACAGTATTCCCCACTGATGTAGATTTCATTTTATTATTTTCATAAACTTGTCTTCCCAAAATCATCTAAAGCTGTCAGCATCTCAAATTACAATTCCATCTGGCTCTGCTGCCTTGTTCAATTTGGCCACAGTGCATCTTCTATTTTAGTTTTGTAAGTGATCTGGGATTCATAAGGAAATAATTTTTTGCAGATTATTTCCAATTTGAAGCATAAATCACTAAGTTCAGACTCAAACATCGGGGACAAAAAGAAAATGCTAAACTTGATTCACCAGCACTATTTCCAAATTACAATGCATTTTAACTGGTCAGAAAAATAACTGATTCTCTAACAAAACGTGGTATAAAATATCAAATCTTTATCCTCCCGATTTGTTCAACACCAACTGCTTTTATTGGCGAACATTTTCCCTTCGCCGATAGCTGGGAGAAGATGTTCAGTATTTTGCATATCAAAATACTTTAATAGCGACTCCTATGACAGACTTGTTTTTTTAATTCAAATATTCCATCCTAGCATGTCATGTGGAATATGTGCCCTTTTGTTTATTAAGTAATTTTCTTTTTTGCCACATTTTCAGAAAAATACCGTGATATGCTTTAACTTATTTGACAAGGTAAGTTGCCATTTTTTTGCTATATTTTTTAAATTTCAAGCCTATTGGTAATTCTGTATAAGTTTGGATTGCTCTCTATTGTTATGGAAAGATTTTCAGATATATTCTTTTCCAATTGGCTGAAGAAATTTTTCCTTTTCTAATATAAGCATTCCATCTTCAGAATTTTATTTAAAATTGCCTGCATTTGGTCCTTTTTTTCCTGCAGTTTTCTCTTTTTTCTTTCTGTATCTTTTCAAAGTTTTTTTCCTTTGCATCATGTTGAGATGAATCCCATCAGCGATCAATTTGTCTGTCTTCATCCATTCAACTTTGGGATGATATCATTTTGATGTCATAAAGCTTCTCTTAATGTGCACCATTTCAAGTTTCCATTTTTCCCATGCATATACTTTCACACAATCATATATATTTTTCTTCATGTTTGGATTATTCAGAAGTTTGTATTACAATTTAGGGGTTACATTAGGCTTCAGTTTTCATAGTTTCCTCTTGGTTTACATATAACCAGAGCTATGGTCATTTCTGCAGTCAGTATTTGGATTGAATTTGAATGAATCATTTGCCTTGACAATTCTTTTGTTGATAGTTATGTATCAATTTAGTTTTGGTTTCTCTCATGGGCTTTTCCATGTCCATAATCATCTCTGATGTTCTGGGAACCATATGTTGGCTATTACCTAGTCATTGGCTGTGCACCATTTGATCCATTTTTTTCGTTCGTTTGGGTTCCTATATCTGTGTAGTTACCAGCTATCTCCCCTACCTTCTTCCTGCTTTCCTTTGGCATTTCCCAAGATAATTTTTGAAATCTTGTGACCTGCAATGGGCCTGGACATTGTTTAGCAAAGTAGAAAAATTTGATTTCTACATCCTTACTTTTGTGCTGTTAGTGCATACACTATCATGATAGCTATGTTGAAGGATTTCCTTTCATATTGACTACCAGAATTCTTTCAGTTAATTGGTAGTATTCAAAAACTTATTTCTTGAATTCTTGATCTAGTATCAATCCTACTCCTTTGTTTTTTCTCTTCACCTGTGATTGTTACTGACAAAATCTCCATTATTTGGACATCTAGTTTCACATTCACCTACAATGTTGATTTTTAGCCAACTCATCTCCTGTTTGCATTTTCTAACTTTGGCCCCCAGTTGTTCAATATCCTAATGTTCCATGTAACCCCGTCCCCCAAATACCTACCCCCAAAACCGGTCAAATTCCCTAATTTTAAAATTTCGGAAAAAACCAAATGGGCCCAAAATTAACCCCCTTTTTCCCTAAGGAATACAACCCACGGCCGGCAATTTTCAACACCCCAGTCAACCAACCCAAACCGGCAAGGGGCAAATTTAACAAAACCCCCACACGAAAACACCCCAAACTTTCCCCGCAGGGAAAAAAACAACCGGCAAAAATAAAAAACGGGACTTTTTTCCCCAAAACCACCCGAACCGAGAAAAATAAAAGGAACCAAACCCCCCTTTCGTCGCTGACCCATTTTTCGGCCAGAAAGCCCCAACCAAAAACCTTTACCCGGGGGAAAACCCCAACCAACCGAGGGCCGTTTGGACCAAAAACCCAACCAAACCCGGGGCCCCACCGGGCCCCCAGCGGGGAACCAAAAAAGCGAGGGCCTAAATTTAAAAAACAGGGCCCACCCCAAAGGCCTTCAAAACCCCGTTTTCCCCGTGCAAAACACCCCCGACCCCCTGCCCCGGGGCCAACTTTAAAAACCACCCCCCCCGGTTTTGGGACCGGCCCCCGCGCCGAATGCCAAATCGAAAAAATTTTTAACGGTTTTCCCCAAGGGCAAAGATTTTTCCCCCTTGCCCTACCCCAGCCTCCCCCTTAAAATTTAAGGATCGCCCCCAACCCCCGAGCCATTCAAAAAAACATTTCGGGGTGATGCAAATCAATCCCACCCTGGCAAATTTCCCCACCCGGAAAAAAACCCGGCCCCTCCCTTTGGCAGAAAGTCCAACGGTCCCCACCGTCCAATTTTTCTTCCCTACCATCGGCAGCAACCCTTCCACCCAACTTTTTAAAATTAACCTTAACTCCCCAAAAATTTTAACCCCCCGGAAAATTCCCACTCACAAACCCGTTTTAATTTCCCCTCGCGCGAGGCAAATTTTCCCTCGGGAAAATAAAAAAACCGAAGGTTTCACCGTCCAAAACGTTCCCCCATATCCCCAACAATCAAAAAATTTTCAAAAAAACCCCCAAACCCGGCCGGGGGGATAAAAACAACCTGGAAAAAAACCGGCTTCCCCCCAAACCAAACCGGGCAGAGGCCCCCAAATTTAATTCCCTACGCGAAATTAACGGAAAAATTTTGCGGAACGAAAAATATTACCGACCCCCCCATAAAGGACCCGCTCTCTTCCCCACCGCAAAGTTTTCCCAAAATTTTTAACCTAAACCCCCAAAATTAAAGGAGGCTGGGGGTAATCTTAAATGCAAAAAGGGTTAAACCCGGGAAGAAAAATACGCAGTCGCCCCCCAATTTTTTAAAAACCTTCCCAAAAAGGTTTTGGTCACCCCAAAGAAGGCAATTGCAAAAATGGGCAAAGGAATTTTGATTTTTTACCCCCCCTCCTTGATTTTCCCGGGGACCAAAGAGTGACAACGGACCAAAAAAAAGGTTTAATAACCCTTAAAATACACGAGGGCCCCGGAAGGGAAAAATTTCTGTTATAAACCCCCTTTTGGAATAATTTGGGGCCCAAATTTCCCTTTTATGACGAAAAGGGTCCAGGCTGGAAACTTTTGGGGAAAACAACCCCGAATTTTTTTCCCCGGGCCCCGGAAAATTCGATTTAACGGTTTCCCCCCGCGTAAAAAATTCCCTCGGAACCTAGCAGGGAAGGTTTTAACGGCCCGCCCAAAGCGCATCAAAATTTTAAACCCCCAACATCCCCCAAAAACTAAACCATGGGCCCTTTATGGATAACAACCTAAGGACACGCCCGGAAAAATCATCAGAAAAAACCATTCCCCCAACTCCCAAAAAAAAACCCCTTTGGGCCCTGACGAAAAAGGGTACGGTTTTTAAAAAAATTTGGACCTTTTTTCGCCCCCCGGCACCCCCTTTTTTCCAAAAAATTTCTCCAAATTTTTCCATCCCAAACCCCCGACCCGGGTTTCCCTAAAACCAAAAAGGCCCAAAACGGGGAAAAACCATAGGGTTTTCCCTATCAAACTCCCCAGAACGGGGTAAACAAAAACCAAAAAAAAAAGGGGGCCTTTTAAATTTGTTTTTCCTTGCAACCCCCTTCTAATTTCAAAAAACCACAGTGCTCCCATTCCCTGGCCCCCAAAACGAGGAAAAGCCAAAATCCGTTTTAAAAAATTTTTTAAAATTCCCAAATTTAAGGGGAAAAAGTTTACTTTAAACCATTTTGGAACTTAAAAAAAAACCCCGCCCCCCACCGGGGGGAACCCGGGGTGCTTCGACCCCCGGGGATAAATCCCATTTCCTTTGGGCAAAAAGTTTTAACCCCTGACCCACAAGGCACCCCAACCTTCATTTAAATCACCCCACAAAATTCGGGAAACCCAAATGGAAACCCGCAAGAACAACGGGGAAAGCGCCCGGCAAAGCTCGGGAAATTTAACCCCCCAAGCAACCCCTTTTCGACCGAGAAGAGAACCCCAAAACTTTAAATTTTCAAAACGAAAAATTGACTACATTTTAACTGTAAATATATTCGATATTTGGAAGCTGAATTTTTGCTTTGAAGATAGGATTTTATCAAATATTATATTTTTTGTGTCTCTACTTAAAATGACTGCATTTACAGATCTCGTTTTTTATAATATATGTTATTATTACAAAAGGTAGCAACATTTTTTTTTTATCAAAAGAGCTGATAAATATGTCTGCTTCATTTATTGGAACCAGATTTCATTTAGGAATCACACCTCTTGAAATTTTATTTTCCCCATAGTTGGAAAGATAGATACTAAACTATCATTCACTTTTTTGTAATTGTAAAATTTTAACATATTTTCCTGAAAAATATGAGATTAGGATTTGATATTTGAAAATAGCTCTCTTAATAATTTTATTTATTATTTTAATGTTTTATAGATTATAACAATGTGTTGGAGGAGACATGGTGGAGTAATGGATAGCAGCTCCGATTGAGGAATCGAGAGCTGAGTTCAAATTCAGTCAAATCCATTACATTCACTTATGTGATAATACCTATGTTAAAGGTATGAATCATCTTCTTCTCCCCCCAGCTATGGGTAAAATCCAAAAGACAAACTGGTCTACCTCAGAAAGAAATGACAACCTACTGTGGGGAAAAAATGACTTTCCTACTGTGGGAAAAATTCAACTCGTCAGTCATAAATAAAGATACATGATCACCTAAGCATGTATCAAGTGTGACACATAACTGACTGATTGGAAATGTTAAAATGATAGTTGTTTTCCATGGACTACAGGTAAAAATTTTAACTTTTTAATTAGATATTGTACATCAAAATAATTGTCTTGGGCAATTTATACAGATTTTTTTCATTCTTACAAAAAAGTAAAGTTACTTAGTAAGGATGACTTTACTCCTGCCAAATAGCAGTTATAATGATCTAGATGTCTAGTTATTAGCAATTATTTAATAAGATGGTATATGTTTTCAGTTATTTGTATCCTAGCATATTTATACCATTTAAAATATTTGTATAAAATAAATAATTCATTAGAATTCATGAAGTCAGTATTTGCTTACTTTATTTTGTTTTTTTCTATAACATTGAACAATAAAACATGGTTGTAAATTTCTGTCATGCAATCTCAAATTGTATAGATATTAATATTCTGTTGTTTTCCCCTGGTATTAAATATTCATTGTTATTATCACTTATAACAATAAGAAAACATACCTTGTGTTGTTTAACAGAGTATCTGAGAAGAAAAGTTCAGTCTATCCATATATAGTATCTCTTTCTTTTCTTTGAAGGAACTTTCTTTTGAATAGTTTCAGTTTTAATGTTTTAAAAATCACAGTTCTTTTTTTTAGATGCAACAAAGTTAATTGGATTACTAAAAGACATGCTTTTTGTGTAGAATATACAAAAAATTTTGAGATTTGCTTTTCATATTGACCTAAGTTTTTTTATATTATTTATGGTTGGACTAATGACCTTGTATTTAACATTATCAAACTTTGTCTGTTCTCTGCCATCTTAAGTGATCAAAGGAATTTTTGCATTCAACCCTTTTTTTAGGAAATGAATCTTCAGACAGACTTATTCTGCTCTCCATATATATATATCTTACGCAGAAATAATCTTGTTAATACTTTCAATGTGTATATATTATGAAAAGTCGGTTTATTGATTTTAATCTTTAAAATATTTTTCTTGGAATCTTAAAATAAAGGTTTTAAAAATTTTCTTTTTGTTAAGATCATTTATCCCAAATATGAATATCTATGTCATCAACAGAGGATCCTGGTCATCAAAAAACATTGGCCTTCAGAAAGTGAACAGGATCACTGTTTTTATTTATTAGATTTTTTTGGATGTGGTATGGATTAGCAATGATGTAGTTCACCATTTTTTTTGGTTCAGTTCTTGATTTGTGATTCTGTAACCAAAATATGGTTTGAAGAAAGGTTAATTCACTACAACTAACCTACAGGCTTCATTCACTTTGAGTCATTTTTAATCACTGATCTGAGAAATCTGCAAGCTGACATTTCAATATTTCTTAATGAGTTTGATGCATTGTTTGACATTTGAAAATAGATTCAAAAGAGAAATAATTTAATTTACAGATACATTAACTCCATATGAAAAAATTACTTTTTTTTTTTTGGTCAAAATGTTTTAAAAATCCTTTTTTTTTTATTTTTATAAGTTCTTAACCCAAACAAACTTTTCATTTTGTTACCTTTGGTGTAAGCTATTACAGTAAGATCTATGAAACAAATGCAAAATAAATTTTCATTCAAAATAGCTTTTTTAAAGTCCATTGTCACCTTCAAAAAATTTTCTCCAGTTTAATGAATGGTTAACTTCTCAATGAAGCTTCAAATTGAAGGCAATATAGAGAAGGAAAGCATTACATAAAAAAAATGACAGCTTGGGTATGATGATTTAAATCTATATCCTGGGTATGACGATTAACTACAAAATCCTGGGTATGACGATAAATTTTTCAACAACAAAGGCCTCTTATAATACATTTTTGAAAAATCTTTTAAAACTTTACGTTTTTTGAAAAATAATATTACCAACTAAACGTTTGTTTGAAAGAATAGTTTTTCCATGCTATACATTTTTGAAAAATATTACCAGCTATACATTTTTGAAAAAATTTTTCCACTATACATTAAATAATAAAAGAAATAGATTTTTGACAAAACAAAATATATAACCAGCAAAAAAAAAAAAAAAAAGACTTTGTTGGCATTAAATACCCATTGTAAAAAATATATTTAAAACAAACATCCTGTTTATTGTCTTTGCATTACTGTCTTTTTTTTACAAAAAATTTTCTGCCAAATTCCTATAAGTGACTTCTTCCATATTTCAATTTGTAGCTTTAGAAACCTTTTTCCCATCAAAATAACATATAATAATTTCCACTGTTTGAATCTGGTTTAAATGTTCTTCAAGTGATAATGAAAGGTCTATATAAAAACTTCTTCTGCATTAAAATTGAATGACACATCTAATATTTATAACACCCTTTCATGCAAGACACCATTTACCTGATTATTCCATTGCAATCTGTCTCAAGTCAAAAATATAATGACTGGTTCATTGGTGATATGGTTCAACCTCCATGCCATATCACCAAAATTTATTTTTTAATAAGATTGGTTAACACCTCCA